CTGCCTTTAGTTTCATGGAATCATAAAAATTTTGGTAAATATCCATTCCATAAAAAATCCAAAGTGTATCAAATAAATAGAAATGGCATTAAGAAACCTCGTCTATTTTCCGCTTCAAAGATGCAGATAAAGAAGATTTCTTCTCAATGCTGGCCAAGTTGGTTGTTTTAGATGAAACATTTAAAGGACATTCCATCCTTTTCTCCAAAATACGCACCGACTTTGCATCACTTGGTTTTGCAGAATTTGTTTTGCTTTTGTTCACCTCCATTGTTCTGGAGCCAAAAGAATAGTCTAATTGTTAAACAAAGTAAACATGAAAGAATGACTACAGGAAAAATGTCATTTCATACTTCATAATAGCAGAGTCAAGAACACCAGGATGATTGCTATCACCCAAAGTGGCATCCTTACTAGTGCTAATGAACTGGGAACCAAGTCTATTGCTGGAAACATGCTTTGCTATGACAATCTCTGCTTATGAATTTAATACCACATAATAATCAGAGAAAACAACAAGATCCCAACAAATAGAAACACATATTTGTTACCTTTGACAGAACTGGTTTTATTGCCAGCAGACGACACCTTAGGGTCAATAGTAGCATCAGAAATGGGTTTCTGAAGCCTAGTCGTTGCCACATTTTTGGCACTCATTAAAGTTTGGTGGGACGCACTTAAAGTTTTTAGTTGAAAGCTGGAACAAATTCATATTAACAAACACGTTTAAAAGGTTTAGAAAACCCTCAAGGAAAATAACATAAAATAAAGGACTTTTAAATATGTCAAGAATCTAAGCATATCGACAAAAGCAAAGGCATAAAGAAGCAAGAAGAAGGTAGGATTTCCATTAAAAATAGCAATTTTCATGCAATTAACTAAAGATGCTAATGTAGTGCTTCCTTTCCATTAAAGTAAAATAACAGCTGTATCATGCTTGCAGATTTTCCACCCATGTTTTCCATTAAAGTTGAGAGTTCTGTAGAAAACCGATGTTATACTAACACCACATTACTTGCATCCTTCCCAACAATTATTCAACTAAATTATCCCTGGAAAGACGGGCTTTTGAGTTTTGCTTTCTTATTTGGGAGGAGTCTTAAAGACTTTTTATTCTTCTTTTTTAAGGGAAAGACTCTTGAAGACTTGATAGTTTGATAGCATATTTATGTCAAACATTAAACATAAATAAATAA